CGTGATTGGTGTTATTTTGATGCCTAGGGGAACGTATCAAACACATCGTTATGGATGTGACTAACAGTTATGGTTATTCTAAAGTTACATATAACATTAAAAAGTATGTTTAGTAGCTATAATAAGGGGGTAATTTTAATTAATAGTGTTTATGACTGTAGGTTTAGTTGATAAATATATCTTTGATTAAAGGTTATAGTTATGATTGATAATTAGAATTATTTGAAAATTTCGTCTTTTTTTTCAACTATCAACCTCTTAAAAATTCTTATGAATTAAATTTTGTGAATTTTACTCACTGATATTTCACCAATATTATTTTCATATGAAGTTCTTTGACTAGTTGAATACTGAGCAGTTGATGATCCATGCTATAAAAATCGGAAGAAAACCGGCGGTTAACCGCGGTTTTACCGGTCCCATTATCGGCTCCTGTCGCTACAATTTACCACGGTTTACCGCTAAAACGAACCGATTAACCGGTTCGCCGATAATTATTGACATTTAGTTGCTCCAAATCATCGATTTTACTATTTTAAATGGTTTTTTCTTATACCTTCCCATGTCGTAAAAATGCTCGGAAAAACCGCCGGTTTACCGCGGTTTACCGATCTGGTTACCGGCTTCCGTTACTGCAATTTACCACGGTAAACCGCAGATTTTGATAAATATCGCGGTTTACCACTAAAGACCGTCCGGTATTTACGATATGGGAACTAACCAATCCATGAAAATAAAGTACAAGAGCTGTTATCGCAAGGCATTATCTTACCTACAACTTTTACAATCTGCTCAGGGCACCTTTTAAAAAAAATAAAACTTGATTGAACTAGGCTGTCGGTGTGGGTGTTGTTGTTTCTGTCACACCCACACCCAAATTTCGATTTTCCAAATGTCAACTGTAATATCATTCTCGAGCTCGATAGTATCGAACTTTTATGAGTAATTTTATAGTACAAAATCTAATTTCTATTGAAGATATAAGGAGTTCCCAGAAAAGTCTTTTCGTCCGTCATTTGAAGAAATATTCAAAGGCTAATTCTAGTGTTGTTGTTCGATGTGTCATTACTAATCAACAATGAACTCAGTGGCATAGCCAGGGGGGTGGCCATTGGGCAATTGCCCAATAGTTCAAAGGTTATTGCCCAATAAATTGGTAAAAACGTTTTTTTTTGCTCTTCACTTTTGATTTTTTGGGTAATGGATCGGAAAAGCTTATGACTTTTTCCTTTTTAATTCTCTTCAGGGAACATAATGTTTGTGATACTAATAAATACACAAAAACTATAGCCCAAGTGATTTTGAATTGCCCATTGTTGCCCAATCTGAAGAATAATTTAGCTGGGAAATGGCCCATGGCTCAGAAATTTCTGGCTACACCACTGAATGAACTAGTGAATTCGATTAAAATAGATCATCTAAATTAGTTTGAGATCATTTTCTCAGAAGCCATTAACAACTAGTTAAAACATTTCCATATTTTTTTGGACGGTGAATTCAAAGAGAGTCTAAAAATCGATGGCAAAATCATACTTCCAGTATCCTCTATTTATCTATATGCCCAGTGAGAACCATCTTCGACTATAATTAGGATAGCATCAACTGTATTAACAGCGACTGAAGAACAACTTCAACGAGCAATATGAAATTCCTTGATTAAAATTCATGATAGCAAGTACAAACTATCCGATCTACATTTTCCAGATCCCACCCTGCATATATTCAAAGAACATGACTTTCCGTGTACGTTCAACTAATTTTCTCTTCATACGAAATCATAGTTCAATATCAATCTCATAACTCATTTAAGGATATGGGTGTGGATATCGGTTTTTGTCTTCATCTCACCTACATCCACTTCATCTTATCGGTCGCATACTAATAAGGTTTCTTTTATTATTCTTTTTTTTTTAAATCTTACTATAACAGTATCATGGAATACGGCGTGAAAGATATTTACTTTGATAAAGACGAACAAAAAAAATGAAATCTTTTTTCTGATCGCATGTCTAGAAAGACACATATACTGCTTCTGGGTTTCTCTTTTCTTATTGATTTAAGATAAGTAGAATCTATGAAGAAGAGAAAGAAATAAAACCTTTCTGGGAATAAAATTCATTTAGTTTTTACTGCAACAACAGACGTCGCTGCGTCGTAAAGTCACTGACTGTCAACATCTACTATTTCAAATCAGACCGAAGAAAAACAACATCACTACGCTCACTAAAAGCTGCCTGGTGCTCGCACAAATATAAACTTTGTATTGTTAAAGAAAAAAACACAGCAAACAAGCGTAAATTACTATTGAGTATTTTTTTCTATGTAAGTATGAGATCCTAAGGATTTCAAGACTTTAATTAGTCTGAAATTACATGGATCTCATGTTATTTCTATAAACTTCGAAATGACTTCACTTTCCTAAGCTTATTTTCTATTTCGCTTTATGATGTTGTCACGAGAGACCAGAGTTTCGGTTGACGAAATTTTCGGCTTGGGCTTTCGACCCATGATCTCGTTGATCCTTAAAAAAGATTTCTTTATTAGTTACAAGATATCGTAGTACTCAGCGATTGGGCATAGTGCTCCTTCTTACACCGATACCTATACCCACACCCGCGCTGCTCAGTACTACGCCGCATCGCTGAGCCTTCTGATGTCCTGCTCAGCAGTACGCCATATTGCTGAGTACTACGATATCTAATAACTAATAAAAATTGTTTTTCAAGGGTTAATGAGGTTACGGGCCGAAAAGTCTGTAGTCCAAAATTCATGTAATCCATTGTCACATTTAATGTATATAAGTTACTTTGATTTTCTGCGACATTGATTCTTCGATGTCAGGATGCACCGACCCCAGTCCACGACTGGGAGACTGGATACCGATTCGACTGAATCGGTGCATCCCAAGGGGGAAACGGCGTACTCCCATACTGCAGAGTACAAGGAGTACGGGGAGTACGATGGGAGTACACGGAGCATAACAGAAGTACATTGCATGTAATATGAAATGGGCTTAGTAATTATTGAAAAACAGACTTGAAATTTTTGTGAAACACGATCTAAAAGGAGTGTTGGCACGGGGGAAAAGCCGATTGTCGGATCCCGGGATCCTATGAATCCTCCGGATCGCCATGGGATCCTCTGGATCCCCTATATGAATATTCCCTTGACTGTAGTTAAGATCATAATCCCGAACTTGAAGGTGTGTTTGTATACTTATTTTTTTCTCTGCAGGGTACTACCTTGAACCTACCTCAGAGCAAAACAAATTCTTAGGATATCCTAAGTCCTCAATCCCTGTATTTTGGAGATATCTCTAGATCGTCAAGTCCTATATTTTGGAGGTACCCGTAGGCCCTCAAGTCCTATTGTATAGGGTTACTCATTGGTCCTCAAGGGCTATCCTATGGTGTATTCATAGATCTTCAAGGGCTTTCCTATGAAGGTACTCATAGGTCCTCAAAGCTATCCTATGTGGTATCCTTAGGTCATCAAGAGCTATCCTATGAAGGTACCAATATGTCCTCAAGGGCTACTCTATGGAGATACCCGTATGTCCTCAAGTTCTATTATATAGATGTACCTATTGGTCCTCAAGAGCTATCCTATGGGGATACCCATAGGTTCTGAAGTGCTATTATATAGGGTACCCTTAATCCCTCAAGTCCTATTACATAAGGGTACCGACAGAACAGCCCTTGAAGACCTATGGATACCTCAAAGAGTAGTCCTTGGACACCTATTAATATCTTCATAGGATGGTTCTTGCAGACCCATGGGCGCCCCATAGAGTAACCATTGAGGACCTATGGGTACCTCTGTAGGATAGCTCTTGAGAACCTATGGGCACCCCGATATAATAGCTGTTGAGAACCTATGTGTATCCCCATTTAATAGCTCTTTGGGACCTATGAGTACTCTATATGATAGCTCTTTGGGACCTATGGGTACCTCCATAAAATAGCTCTTGAAGACCTATGGGTAACCTCATTGGATAGGTAGATGAACACTCAAGTACCTCTCCGAGAATAAGCAAATGAGCACCCAAGAAAACCCTCAAAGATTGGTGTGATAATCTCATTAGCGCCTCACCCGTAGTTCTATGAGTCGATTGATACGAAACCTCGAATTCTTAACTGGAACTGGAATATCCTTACTCTGGATTCTTTGGATTCCCAATGTATCCTCTAGATTTCCGACGTATCCGGTGTATTTTCCCTATCCCCATCATACCCTCTGGATCCCCACTGTATCTGGAATAGACGGGATCCGCTTTTATCCCTTGAGTATTGAAGTACATAGGGGTAGCAATTAGGATTCCCATAGACCTTGACATACAAACGTCTGGAACGGTGTAGAAAGTTGCAGAATGGCTTAAGGATTTTTATGATCGAGATACCATTTCTCGCTGCTACAGAAGTCTACCATTGGCTATTGATCCCTCACTCTGTTTGTATAGAAACGTACTCGTAGACCTTTGATCTTTAATCTTTAATCTTTAGCCTTTAATCTTTGACCTTTGACCATTAACCATTGAGCCTAATTGATAAGGTCTGTGTTGGAAAGGATAGGAGTTTGGACTCTCCACAGACCAAAGCAAATTCTGTTTGCCGACCATCGCAAACTATAACAGAGAGAGGCTACAGACCATCGCAGACCGTGACAGACAGAGGCTGCAGATGGACGAGGAAACGGCATACTCCCGTACTCCCTGTTCTCCGGGAATACAGGGAATACGGGAGTACGCCGTTTCTCCCTTGAAGGAAACAATTATAAAACTAAGAAGCAAAATTAAAGACAGTATGAGGCAATGCTTCATGTACGCTCTATTGTGCACTGTTGTACTCCCATACTCCGGGAGTACGGCGTTTTCCCCTTGGTGCATCCCTACTTCGATAGTTAAACATCGGGCTATAAAATGATTGTTCTGTGTGAAAGAACTTCTTCTTATGTTTGTTTAGTGAAACATAAAATAGTCGTCGACGAGACAAGTCATCAAAATGGCATTGAGCAAACAACAGACTACCATTCGAAGATGTGATTCAATAAAATCCGTAAGTTCGTATGAATAGAAGTGAAGCAATGCAATAGTTTCTTTTGTTTTAGACTATTTCCTTGTGGGATAAATTGCCGGAAGTCAATTCTGTTCCTATCGATATTGCCAATGATGATGATTTTCTTGATGAAGATGATCTTACAGAGAATGACACTGAAGATGAATTTGAAACTCCAAATGATGTTAGTAATTTACCAACATCTTTACACGAAGCTTTTACATCAAGCTTAACTCTTGAAAATTTACAACGCAATACTCTATTGTGGGTTTTTGAAGAGTATGATCAGATTAAATTAATTGTAGACGAGCTACATGCCGAAGATGTTAAGACTGAGCTTCAAAAACGTTTATCAAGTCAAGGCATTCGATGGATGAAAAATGACGACGAGCGGATTCGTTCATGGCATTTTGGTCTATCATTCATACGCTTTCAAATTGAACGTGCACATCCGATTGACATAATGAGATTTACCCCGATCTTATCTTTTCCTTTTTGGCTCAGATTCAAAAATAGCATGCAGCGACAACGGTATATAAAATCAAATTCTGAACGCATTAAACCGATTCGATATGGATATTCGCCACCCTATCGTGTTTCTCTTCGTTATGGTGCACTTACTAAACTCAATGAATTTCGCTATTCGCTTGAACATTCATGGTCAAATCAACCAGAAAGTAGATGGTCACTCTTTATCAAAAACGATTATTTTGGTGGATCCATTGAATGGGTGATGGAAGAAGCTCGAAAACGAAAAAAGAAACAACTATTAGCGATTAATATTGATCGTACCGTCATTATTCATCTTTTACCAGATGGATTTGCAATGTATATTTGTCAGACGTGTAATATGAATGAATTCAATGCAAAAAGAAAATCAAATCATGGCGTAAGAATACAGCATCCCTCGCCGAATTTTCCTGGTCGCTCGCCTTTGATACGCCCGATATTTAAAGATAAGCAACAATCACAAAGGCCTTCTTACGAAAAAGATAAACGTTCTAGTACTCGTAATGGGATCTACTTTCCGACTGTTCAATTTGAACTTCGTATCGATCCAAATCATATAGCGAATGAAAAGGCTCAAAATACGATTCAACACACATATAAGTTGTTGACCAATTTTTTTACTTCACACAATATCATCATTTGTCATGGTGCGCTTGATTCACGTCAAGGTCTACAAGTCAATTTATTTCCTACTCTAAAATTACCTACTCTCATCATGCAATATTCATGGCAAATGCTTATGAATATTGGTTATCGTTTACAAGTTCAAATCGATCAACAATTCTGTAATGGTCTATATGCATTAAGTAGAGAAGAACGAAATGCTGATGACCTATTTTATCGTGTATGTGTTTATCTTTCTCGTCTATTTACACTTGAACCCTTCGTCAATTTGTCGGAAAAATTACATGATGCTATAATAGAATCAAAACGTAAACGAGAAGATTGTACTTTTGGATTGATCAGTAGTTTGAATACACAAGTCAACACAGAAACATATGTACCATCAGTAACATTGACACCGACAACCATTCGAATCAAACCACTTAAATTGTGTCGAACGAATCGAGTTCTTCGAGCTGTACAAGAATTTGGTAAAGCATTGGGACATTTTGCACTTGTCGAAATTCGTGATGAAAATGGTAAACCATTACAATCGTTTCATTTTCGTGACTTACGTCATCTTTTTCTTGATTATTTGCAAAACGGCTTTACTCTCATGGATAATAATCGATATTATCGATACTTACATCACTCACAATCACAATTACGTGCCAATCAATTTTGGTTTTATCATCACGAGCCAGGCATAAATCTTTCATTTAACAAAGCTTATAACTGGATGGGAATGTTCGATAAAGAACGAAACATAGCAAAATATGCTTCTCGTGTAGCTCTATGCTTTTCAACAACCACTCCTACTATTAATGTAATATATTTCTTTTTCTATTAATATATCGTTGATTATCATCAATATTCTGATCATCTTATTTAGATAGATGAGAAAAATGTTCACTACATCGCTGATATCAAGACAAAAGATGGAAAATTAGCATTCACAGATGGATGTGGTACGATGTCAGAACAATTAAGAGATGATGTTAGTATATGATGTTGTTGTGTGTATTAAAAAATTGATGTTTCTCTTTTACAGATTCAAAAAAAGTTTGGCAAGCGATCCTTCAGTGCTGTTCAGTTTCGATATGCAGGCGCTAAAGGTGTTGTTAGTGTCGATCCTCGACTAGGATCAGGTCATCATCTATGTATTCGTGATAGTATGAATAAATTCAAGAGTGAACATCGATGCTTCGAAGTATGTAGAATTTCTGCACCTCGATCACTGTATCTCAATCGACAAGCTATTATTCTTCTATCTTATCGACAAATATCCGATGTTGCCTTTCTTATTCTTCAACAACGTAATCATTTGAAGCTTATTCGAGCTTTATTAAGAAATAGTGATGCTAGAAATTTTCTTGATGAAAAATTACCATATTGGTTTTTACCATATGGTGCAAAGATTGATTTTGTTCGTGAACCATTCTTTCGACAACTACTTATAGTTGCATGTCTTATTTCAATAAAAGAATTACTTCGACGAACACGTATTCGTGTTTCACCTAATAAAGCTCGAAATATGTTTGGTATTATAGATGAGTACAACGTATTAAAACCGGATGAAGTTTTTATTCAATACACTCTACTTAATGATCATGAAGACAAAGATGGCAATAGCAAACGTCAAAATACACAAATTCTTGACAATTGTAAGGTTGTTGTTACAAAAAATCCTTGTCATCATCCAGGCGATATTCGAACATTTACTGCTGTCAATCATGAAGCGTTAAAACATCTCAAAGATGTCATTGTCTTTTCTCAGCAAGGTGATTGTCCAGCATCACATCAAATCAGTGGATCTGATCTTGATGGTGATGAATATGCAGTAATATGGCATCAAGATCTTGTTCCACTTCAAACTCCCAATGCCGTACCATATAACTATGATTCACAACCACCACCGCCAGAACTCAATCGACCTGTGAATCGAAACGATGTAAATCATGTTGTACTGCAAATAGCTGAGAGTGATTATTTAGGACGATTATCTAATTTACATTTGGCATATGCCGATCATTATGGAGTTGATAGTAACGAACGACCCGCCAAAGATGTTAGATCGACAATCGAACTAGCTGGAGCAATTAGTCAAGAAGTTGATAGTGGAAAAACTGGACAACATCCATTGGATGACAATCAAATAATGGAACAAAAAAAAGCATTGGGGAATACTCGACCAGACTTCATGGAAAATGCCAATATGAAATCGTATCCATCAAAAAAAATCCTTGGTAAATATACATTTTAAAAGTATTTTAGAACAGAATAAAAAAAAGCAAGAAAATTTGAAGGGTAATCCAAACTTCAAGAGTCAAGAAATTTCTCTTGTATAAGATTTTTCATGAATCAACATTTTGGAATTTAATAAAAGAATATTCTACTAGTCTCTTATCTATTTATAGGAAAACTCTATCGTTCATCACGTCAAATGTTGCCTGGATGGAATCGACTTCTTCAACAACATCGTCATTTACGTCATTTGCAAGTTCGAACTCCTGAAGACGATAAAATAGACGATGAAGAAGAACAAGAGCAAACAGCAGATGCTTATAATAGTCAAAAAAACATAATTTTACTAGATTCTTCTCTTCTTAATATAAATCCATCATGGCAAGATCAAGAAATATCAGCAATTGCATCTCAATTATTTTATGTCTATCGGCAAGAATTGCTTGAAATTCTTAATTTATATGGACTTTCACATGAAAGTGATCTATGGTGTCGAAATTCAACGAACACTACTGGTGGAGAACTTGAAGATACAGCGTATACACAACTCGAACAACTTGTTGTACGTACTCGTGATGCTTTCTTCTTACGTTTAATATCTTTCTGTCCGCGCAATCAAAATACATGTAATGGAACTACAGCTTTCGAAAATTTATGTCAGAATTGTCAAAAATTACACAATGCCGTAGCTGTAGCATTGTATAGAGAATGTTACAGTGGACAAAATGGATCGGAACGAGCACCAATTTTAAGTTTACCATGGCTATTTACGACAGCACTTCTACAGAAACGTCAAAGAGAATTATCATCAACACAAGGTTTGCTTAGTATGGTAATGACAGCTGCAATCAACGATTTGGTCACTCATCATTTATTACAATTAGGAGGACTGACAGTGACACTTCGCAAATCGAACAATCATCGAATGAAAGTAAATGTACATTGGACAGTTTGTGTCTTTGTCGAAATACTTCATTATTGTCTTAAATCAAAATCTTTTACTTCATGGCCGATGATACTTGGTCGATTCATATGTAAAACAGCGTCATTGCAAGAGCGCGATGCAATTGATGAATGGTCATTGGTTTTTGACAGTGCAGAACAGGATGATTTATATGCTGCCACGGTCATATCGATGGAATGGACTGAGAATGACGATGAATTAATGCATTCGTATTTTATTGAATTGCTCGAAATTTGCTTTAATCTTAGTCAAACCATGACTGATGATAATAATGAGTATCTTCAAATAAGCGAAAAAATCATTCTAATATTTCAACAAGTGGCGATTGACGGAACTCCATGGCCAGAAAATCGGAAATAATGCTATTGAAGCAACTTTTTATTCTTACAATATTCAAATTTCACTTCAATTATCTTATTATCTTAAACTGTTGAGAAACGTCATTATAGTGAAAGATGTAGGGCATTTATTTTCTCGAATATGCCAACAAAGATTTGTGATTGAAAGTGAATAAAATATTTCTAAGTGATCTGTTTCTTTTGTCATGGAATAGCCAACAGATCACAACCCAAAGCAAATTGGAAAATCCTGATTTAGGATGAATTCGCTTCGATTCGATTCGATTGGACTGTCGGGTGTGAGTGTAGACTAGAAAAGATAATCACACACACCCTCCGATAGGATCCTATCAGAAGTTGTCAGAATCTTTGTCACTGGAATCTGATGGAATCCTATTGAATTTATAGCTGAACATTAGATCTTGTTTGACCCCTCTCCCCCCTTCCTTCCTCTTGTGCAATTAGGTGCAAATTAATACCTCAAACTTAATTTATTTCGACTTATTATTACTATCAACTGTTCAATAATAAATTTAAAAGAAAGTAAAATAAAATAAAATATAATAAAAGTTAAAAATTAAATTAAAATTAAAAAGATAAAATAAAAATAAAACACAATAACGTAAATCAGAAAAAATGCCATAAAATAAAAAACAATAAAATGAAAATAAAAATAAATAACATAAAATAAAAAATTTATACTCCCTGTTGGCTGACTTCATGCCGTAACAAAATCTAAAACAAAAAGAAAATAATTTAATTCGAATAAAACTAAAATAGAAGACCAGAAAGTAAAAGAAAAGATTTATACTTATTTGGGATTGACTTCATGCCGTAATAAAAATTGAAGTAAAATATGATCAAATAAAATAATAAACAATAAAATAAAGATAAGAAATTTATAGTCACTGTTGTGGTATACCGCGTCAGAAGAGTTAAAAGACGTTTCTTTTGTGCTTTTATCAACAAATGCACTTCTCACTAGGGACATCTATAAAATATCTTGAACCAAAAAATAAATCCACGATATTCTTACATAATGCACTCGAGAACTGAAAAAGAAGCAAACTTATTCTATGCTTGTTACTGGCTTCGGCGTAATCTTGTCATTCTGTCAGCATTTCTTTTGTAAAAATTATACAACGCAGCACAAGTGAAACATTTTCAGTCTAGAAAACCTGTTTACAGAAGCTTGCTGGTAACAGAAAACGTCTCATTCAACTACAAATCAAATGAAAAATGAAAATGAAAATAAAGTTAAATCTAATCAAAATAAAATAAAAATATTAAAAAAAAACAAAATAAACTGAATGAAATATATTAAATAAAAAACGGTCCCTTTTACACTACAGCGCCTCAAGGCATTTGATTGGTCACAGAATGAGTAAGTGTAATATTACCCGAAATAAAATAAAGTGTCTGTAGATATTTTTCTAGCATCAGATTTCATCGGATCCGATAGGGTGAATTTGGTCTGGGTAACACTTCCGACACGCTGTCGTGCATAGCATAGCAAAGCAAAGTAAAAACTCAAATCTTAATAAGAGTTGTATTCCAGCACATGCTTGTGTTCTTGCAAGATTTTTGTGAACTATTCGGTGTATGAAAACACATACAAGTGACAAGAGTTAGTGAAATTTGAGGGTCTAGGCAAAATTTTTTGTTCTGCATGTAAAGCTGATATTCCATCGAATAGTGTCATTTTCAAGCTTATTGAATGCAAGAGAAGACTGGAAAAACAACGTTCATATTTAAAAAAAACACAAGAATAAAATGAGCGCTGTATTTTCCTTCTCTCCGCTGGACCAAATACGATATTACTCGCAGAGAATCATGCTTATTTGTCGTTTGAATTGCAATATGTCATGCCTTATTAACAATAAAAAATAATGCTGAAATGATCACACGTAAAGTACACGCAATAAGAGCGATGATTCAAATGTCAATAGTTAGTTAAACGTGAGTCAAATCTATCATTTGAGTGTGATATTATCATAGTATTAATAATGCTAAGTCTTCTGCATGTAATATGCTTTTTATGTGTATTTACTGGATTGCAATCGATTTTTTATGATACAGATCCTTTTCAATTTGATTGTTTGCATTATTTTTCAATCGGTTCATATATTTCCGGCATAATCAAGAATTGTATTCGTCCAACGGATGATCAGAATCCAAGAATGATCGATTTTTCCAATATGAGCCATCAAAATTTGACTTTCGACGAATTACATCGTTTGAATGTTACTTCATATGAAGTCCTCTTATGGTCATCTTCGATCGATCTTGCTGAACGATATCAATATTATATCAATCAACCGACTAAATCTATTCGATTGAATGAAAAATTCTTTAATTGCACACCACCTTGGTTTGGTTCTCATTGTCAATATTCATTCGAAGTAGTGTCGAATTTTGCCGAAACGAGATTAAATGTTCAGGGAAAATCTCATATGACTGATGCTATTACTCATCGAACATGTTACATTCTGCTAGAATGTGATCGTAGTGGTGCATCAATGTGTCTCGATTGGCGTGAAATATGTGATGGTCGACTTGATAGTTTCAATGATGGTATTGATGAAAGCCAATGTTTTGAATTAGAAATCAATGAGTGTAATGAAAACGAATATCGATGTCATAATGGATTATGCATACCAAAACAGTTTTGGAACGATGAATTTGACGAGGCCGAATGTCTTGATAAATCGGATTTATTGAATATACCTGATTGTCCAGATATCTATCTCCAACTTTATATTTTTAGCTGTGCAGAATATGCATGTCGGCCCGATGAAGGTCAATTTCCATGCGGCGATGGACAATGTGTAGAAAATTTTGGTAAATGTCACAATGGACGGCATCTTCTGTTAACCGAATCGCTCAGTGTTCAAGGAAACCTACCATACGGTTGCTGGATAGCTATGGTTTGTCTCAGTAAAATCACCGATCAAGTTGATGAAGTATTATGTGAACAGTTCGTTAACCTTTCTCAGATTCTTCCTCGACTAGAAACTTGTAAATATCCTATTCAATTTCCAACTATTCCCGTACTCTTAGGTCATGTACGCTTTTTATACCATCCGAAACAGATTTTTAATATCAGTATCGAATTAGCTCTCGTACCTGATTATGTTTGTTATGATGAAAAACTATGTGATTTTCTCATGCCTACATTTCATAATGAAAATTTGACTTGTCGATATGGTCATGAAATGGGTCTTGGATCGGATGTCGAGGTGAACAACTGGAAATCAATCATCGATTTAGTCAAACCCTATTTTCGTGGTTGCATCACTCAACATTATCATGATATTGATGCACATTATTCATCGTTGTATGCGTGCAAGAATTCTTCGAAATATATTTCGAAACATCGGCTCGTTGACGGCATCTCAGATTGTTTTTTGAACGATGACGAACAAGTATCTGAATTGAATTGTTCGTTGGATCATCTGTATCGATTTCAATGTTTTAGTGATGCTCTGTGTCAATCAATTTCGTTGCTAACAGACGTCTGCCAGATTGAAAGACAGAAAAATTTCGATGAAATATTATTTTATGAAATTTGTGATCGAGCTGTCGATCTGTCTCCGATAATAATCGATGGACGAAATCATTCGGACGAGACCGATTGTGAACATTGGCAATGCAACAATATCTACACACGATGTGATGGCTTTTGGAGTTGTAAATACGGAGATGATGAAGAAAATTGCATGCGTCCGATTTGTCCTAAATATTTTCTTCCTTGTATTTTACCACATAATTCTACATTATTTTGTTTGCCGGCCAACCAAGTTGGTGATAGAATTATTGATTGTCTTGGAGCATCCGATGAACTTGAATATTGTCGAAAGAACTATGGCGATCTTCAAACTTAAGGATTTTATTGTCAGAATGACAGGACATGTATCGAACACGAGAGACTATGCGATGGTATTAAAGATTGCTTATTAGGTGAGGACGAAAAATTGTGTGACGATCGTCCACAACTATGTGAAGAATCGAATTTTAATTATCTTACTGATGTAGAATATGTTTTATGTCAAAGTGGTTCTATACATAGGACTTCTTTTTCATTAAAAACTGCATCAATCTATCCGCCATCACCTCTCCTTCTCTTGTTATATCAATATTTCTTTGACGTTTGCAATAAATTAGACACATGGCTGCGAAGTTTGGTGACCACGGAAGCCCTAAAATTGCGACAGTTTACTCAGTTCAGTTTGCATTAAATTTTCTGATGAGCGACCAGCAAATCACTTTGAAGAAATACACTAATAACTTCACATTTTTCGAAGGCGTTAAATAATTGTTTCTAAAGAGAGAGAAAGAGACCTAGATGACTCAAAATCCACAATAATGAAAACAATTGCAAAAACCCTCTATATTATTTCCCGAAACTTAAAAAAACTTTTTTGCGTATAGAGTCTAAAAGTGTCACTTTTCACAAGTCTTTATGAACTTTATATTTATGAAATAAAACTTGCAAGCGTTCTCTATCCATAGAACAAAAACTAGTTCGTTCGGTGAAACCCTAATGGAAATATATAATTCTGTTTTTGCTAGATGACTTTTGGGACATTCTGCATAACGATTTTTAGGAATCAAAGACATAGTTCTATTTAGTTTTGTTTTCTCTATCAAATGATGTGTTGTGAGTTGTGTTTGCATTTTATCGAACCTAAAAAACTTAACTTCTCCGTAAAACTCATAGGACTTCAGATATTTTAAAGTGTTCGAGGTTCTATCAATATTATTTTCGATTCTAATACACATCAGGTACATAGAGCATCATTGTTTCTATCGAATGATAAATAACACATAATATTTTGGATGCATCTTATTTTAAGCGAAAGGTACATCGACATTCAAGTTCAATAAATCGCACATAATACCTATCTTGTGCTGTCTAGGTGTTTTAATTTTCGGTTACTTCCAATCGTAAAGCGTTGTACATCCCATCATGAGTGATACACAACCGCTAATATCAGGTGTAGACCACTATTCTACTAATGATAGCAATAAAAATAGAAAACGATCACTGAGTAACAAGTAAGATAGAATTGAACTTTAGAAAGGTATCACAGATAATGTCGTATTCATACAGGTTATCCAATTGGCTTCAATGTTTCGCTTTCAAACAGCTCAATAAACAGTATGAAACGTTGGATGATAATAATCATCATACTAGCACTGAGCCAATTATTGGATATTTTCAACTGGTAAGTGTACCAAGAGAGAATAAATATTAAATAACGAAGTGTTTGTTTAACTTTGCGATAGTTTCGTTTTGCTGATTGGCTTGATCTTCTGATAATAGCTCTCGGTTTATGCGTCGCCATACTACAGAGCATTGCCTACACAACAACTACCGTTGTTTTTGATCAACTCACGAGTGCATTTGCGTCGCAATCTTTTATTGATCAGTGCCCTCTACAACAGAACACATCAATTACTGCTAGCAATAGTAGAGGAAGTCCATGGTGCATTGAGAGAAATACTTTCAACTATGATCGATCACAAAAGTAAGTCATGATCACGTAAAGCGTTGACATGCTTCAGTTTCTATATTTATTCACTGTTGATCAATTTCAGACTCTACCTGAATGAGAGTATCACATTAGCGCCACGATGGTCGTCGTCTATGACCAGATTTAATACTGATATAAGAAACAAATTACACTGGCTATTAAGTAAGCAGAAATAAACTAATTCTTCAGATATGAAATCAAATAATGATTTGTATCTTGAATGTGCGTAGCGATGGGTATAGTGGACATATCGTGCATTGCTCTCCATTATTTTCTCTTCACCATGACGGCCACACGGCAAACCTCTCGAATACGTATTCGTCTTTTACAATCACTGCTGCAACGCGTATGTCAAACGCATTCATCTTTACGCAGATATAACGAGTGAAGCACAATAAATGGCCTCCTCACTGTTTTCTCGATATCTCCATTGACTATCATCATTCACATTTGTACTTTTTCTAAAAGGAAGACTTATGGAATTGTCTACAAAATAACATATTGTGAAACATGACTGGGAATGGTTGTTGAAGTAAATTGTGAGAAAAGTGACTCCTTTCTCATCCTATCCCACTGACCGTGATAAACATTGCTAGGAGTGTTCAGCATTTCTGTCACGATCGGTAGCCGTTTCAAGGAGTTTTCGATGTACTATTCATTCGTTGTCAAAAATATCGAGACAAGCACAGATAGGTTTCTCGGTTATGAACACAGTGACTTTATCGGCTGCTAAATTTTAATCTCGTAAGGATCACACTGGAAGCCTTTTTTTTATCAGATAAATGCAGTTTTCTTCATCTTTCAAAAGCTACAGAACTGTATGGAATCATCAAGTAATATTGGCAAAAGTTTTGTTTTTCTCAACTTTTTTTCTGTAGCATTTCAACTCTTACACTGTCGTAGTTTGTTTTATGATGCTTTCGCAGGTTATGATTTCAACAAATTTCATAAAATCAGCGTTATATATGGTGAGTCGATTCACAGAAGAAATCGACAATCTCTGAGAGCACCACAATACAAGTCTCAATATTCTAGGAGTTAAAATATTACAAGAGAGAAGTTGAAAAACAAAAAAAGATTCAAAAACTATACTTAATAGTTCCATACAATTCTGTGGCCTTTAAAAAATGAAAACTATATTCATCGAATAAAACATATCATTTGTGAAAAATTATATAGTGCATATTTTGGCAAAAGAGGATAAGCTTGAGCGATGATAATCAATGAAGATATCGAAGAATAACGAACGAACCATTTATTCAGTCGTATTTGTTACAACTTCACGACAGTTGATGGTTGTACATGGGGATTGTTTCACCCTTTCTCTCTGTCTCTCTCGTTTCTAGAATATTTCCTATTGCGATATGAATTCGATTAGTCAGTTCAATGTCAAACTGTTCAAGTAAGTCATCTGTCGATCGATATTTGAAATAGACATGATATCTTGCTCTATCATCTCATAGCAACATTGATCATTTGAGTAAAGGCATTGGTGTTGATTTGGCAATAGTGCTCATAGCATTATTTTCCACTATTGGCAATACTTGTGCTGCCTTAATCATCAATTGGAAGTTGACACTTGTTCTACTGTGCATTGTGTCATTAACTATTGCCGGCTCATATACTTTTTCAAAGGTAGATGTAATTGCTGATGATTAATTTAGCTTATACTAATTCTAAAAGTTCACTGCCAATGAATCAAGAAACGAATTGGATACGTACTCAAAAGCGGGAGAGGTCGTTCAGGAAGTATTCAGTTCTCTTCGTACTGTGCTTTCGCTTAATGGTCAAACATTTGAATAGAAACGGTAAGGAATATATATACTTATAAGCAAACTTTGTAAGCCATGACCCATGGCCATGTTCGAATTTTTTTGTGTATTTAGATACGAAAGCAAATTACAGGCAACTCGTTGGAGCAGCGTACGCAAGGGTGCCGCGTTTGGCCTTTTCACTGGATGGATCTCTCTTATAGGATACATCATTTATTCAGTTGGTTTTACCTCCGGCTTATCTCTCTTGCATGGTACAAGACGTGATATACCCTATTTCAGGGATGTTTTTGTGGTAAATTATTCAGTTCATAAATTAGACTTCAGAAATCAATAGGTTCTCGATGTTTGAGTAGATAGTGATTATTTTGGCAAGAACTATCAGTCATGTAGCCTTTATTAGTCCTTTCTTTCAATCATTAGAAGAAACTCGAGGTGCTTTAGCGCCCATATTCCGATTGATCGATGAGGTAAAGTTTTGTTTCATGTACGATCCAGTCTCTTCTCTATTACCTCATATAGGAAGAGAAGACAAGTATGAATGAGACACAAATATTGGAAGATTCAGTTGTTTGTGAAGAAACTATAGACATGAATGGTGATATTCAATTTGACGATATCGACTTTGCTTATCCAGCTCGACCTGATGTCTTAGTCCTACAAAATCTCACACTGATGGCTCGTGCAGGTGAGATAACAGCATTAGTTGTTTCAAGTGGCGCCGGTGAGTATTTTGAAAGAAAAACATCATTGGACTTCGATAGCCTAATATTTTTCGATCGAATAGGCAAGAGCACATGTGTTTCACTTCTGTTTCGTTTTTATGAACCTTTATCGGGCCGCATTGCAATTAATAATCGATCGATTACTGATTACAATCTCAAAAAACTCCGACAAAAGATTGTTGTTGTCAGTCAAGAACCTGTATGTCGGTCTTTTCTATTTTGATTCTTGCATTTGATATTGTTCTATGTAGATTCTCTTTGCCACAAGTATCTATGAAAATATTCGTTTGGGTAAAGAAAATGCGACAAGAATTGAGATCGAAGAAGCAGCACGTCAAGTCAATGCACACGATTTTATTATGCAATTACCTAATGTTTGCATTTAATGTTCGTTTCTAATGACATGCACTATGTTTTCTATTTTTGTAGAAATATGATACAGTTGTCGGTGGACGTGGTGTTCAATTGAGTGGCGGTGAAAAGCAACGTGTAGCTTTAGCTCGTGCTCTTGTCAAACAGCCAGCCTTACTTTTGTTGGACGAAGCGACCAGTACTCTTGATAATGCCAATGAAAAGATCGTCCAAGAAGCACTCGATCGCGCTTGTAAAGGTTCGCACACATCTTTCTGTTTCAATTATATCATCTATAGTTACATCTAGGTCGGACGACTATTGTTATCGCTCATCGTTTGGCAACAATTCGAAATGCTCATCGAATTTATGTGTTGGATAATGGACATGCCATCGAACAAGGTACACACGAGACACTGATGTTAAACGAAGGAAGTCGATATTGCGAGATGATGAAAGCTCAACAGAGAATAGAAAATGATATCGATGAAAGAACGAGCCTCACACAAACAGAAGATGATGATCAAACAAAAATTTGTATGTAGATACTTTTAACAAAAGAATACTTCGAACAAGATCATTCTTTTCATTAGCTGAACGCTCTCTACATCCTAATAATCAAGAACTTGACAATGGAAACAAAGTAAAGAACATGAATGTACTTTTCTCGAGATGGTTTTTACATTTACAGAGTACTTTTAATAGATGTCATCGACTACAAATGGCCTACCTGTCTTCTTGCGACTTTTACTTTTGAACAGTCCAGAGTGGATCATTATTCTGATTGGTTGCGTGGCTTGCCTCATTTATGGAGCAGGTCAATCAATCCAGGTCATTCTAGTCACAAATACAATTTCTGTAAGTGATTTTCTCGTATAACACGATCAATATTATCATAATTGGTTGTTCAAGGCATTCGGAGCGTGCATCTACGAAGAGCGACGTCATCAAGTTTTTAAATTTTCCCTCCTCGTCTTGTTGATGGGTGTTGCCTTTTTGGTCATTCGTTTTATACAAGTAGGAATATACTTCATAAAGCGTTTTATATTTTCTACATCAATAGTACACTGCATTTGCTGTATCTGGCTCAAAATTGACGGAGCGTATCCGTGCTAAAGCTTTTGCACACCTTTTGCGCCAAGAAGTCGCCTTCTTTGATCGTCCTGAAAATAGCTCGGGAGCTATTTGCAATCGTCTCTCATCTGATGCATTGGCTATTCAGCAGATTACTGGGGCTCGTCTAGGCATCGTTTGTGAGTCAATCGCAATGCTTGGAATTGGTGTTGTTCTCGGAGTTTTTGTCAGTTGGCAATTGACTTTAATCGTACTCTTCTATATTGTCTCTTTATTTGTTATTGCTGTCATGCAAATTCGTTGGCAAGCACGATTGAACAAACGTTCTAATGATATTCTTGAATTAGCAAGTTCGGTAAGACCAACATTTCGATTACAATATCATGTACATTGAAATATTGATAGCGAATCTGCTTTTACTAATAGCTCGCTGTCGAGATCATTCACAACATGCGTACAGTGAAGCAGCTGGCAAGCGAGGCAGAATTTTTACGTCAATTCTCGCATTTAGTTCTCAAAGAGTTCAAGTCAGTCTTTCAATCGCTTTTTTCCTTAATTTCTATGCATTATTTTCGCATAGAATTCATCGAAATGATATAATAATATCCGCGTTACTACACAGTATCCAGTGGGGAATGGGATCATTTGTCTTGTCGTTTCTTTCTTGGCAGACTCTCATCCTTGTTGAACACAAAGAACTGAACATGAACAATATCTCTATGTACCAAAATAGAAATCTTTAAGATTTATTTTACCTATATATTTTTCTAGCGTGTTTGCCTATTATACTTTCTCCATAGAAGCTCGACGATGCATCATGATCTTGTAAGTCATTGCACCGATTGATTTCTTTTCCTCAAGTGCTTTTATTCAGAACGCGACAGATGAGTGACTCATTATCAGCAGCTCGAAATTTCTTCCATTTGTTCGATCGAATATCAGCCATTAACAATTGTTCTATGGATGGTCAACAATTGGTAAGTGATTCATTTAGTAAAAGTCTGAGTTTTAAACAGATTACTCGGATCTCATTGTTGAAATGTGTTAATAATAGAGTGATTTTAAAGGTGAGATCGAATTTGATCAGATCAAATTTGCGTATCCATCTCGACCGACATTCTGTATTTTGAATAAATTTCAATTGATCATCCAAGCTGGTGAGTTTTTCCTATGTATTTTCAATTTAGTTTGTGATGAAATTTATCTATTGGTCAATTAGGTCAGCGTGTGGCCCTTATAGGTATGTCGAAGTCAGTTGTTATTCATTCAAAGTACTTATATAATCTACTTATAAAGGTGCATCTGGTGGTGGTAAAGCAACAGTCATTCAGCTCTTGGAGCGATTTTACGATCCCATACAAGGTCGAATCGTAAGTATTTCTCTTTTTTATTGTCAGTATATTCATGTAAACGCTTGGCTAATGAAATTTAGTGTCTCGATGGTGTTGACATTCGAGAATTGAATATTCAATGGCTTCGCTTCTGTCTTGGTCTTGTTAGGCAAGAGCCTATTTTGTTTGATTTGACTATTGCTGAGAACATAGCATATGGTAGAGACAACATATCGATTGAAGAGATTATCGATGCAGCCACCAAAGCCAACATTCATCATTTCATTCAGCAGTTACCTCAAGTGAGAAAAGAATAATACATGATATTTGATTGTGTCTTTGTGACGTCATAAGAGGGCTATGAGACCAAAGTGGGAATGAAAGGTGGACACTTGTCAGGTGGTGAGAAACAGCGTATTGCCATTGCTCGAGCTCTTATTCGTCGACCAAAAGTATTACTGCTAGACGAAGCAACAAGTGCCATGGACTCATACAATGAACAGGTTCACTTTCTTACAATGTTCATTAATCATATAGTCGTTTTCGATATGTTTAGATCGTACAAGAAGCTCTTGAAAGAGCGCAAACAGACGATCCAACTCGAACTTCACTGATCATTGCTCATCGTCTGTCGACGATTCGTTCATGTGATTTGATCTGCGTTCTTGACAAAGGATACTTGGTAGAAAGTGGTACAGATGTAGATTTAATGAAACGACGTGGAGCCTACTATCATATGATTGTTCGCAGCAATACTTCATAAATTGTCTTCGTCGTTATTTTGACGAAACTGACTAACAATTGAAATAGACTGTTCTACTTTTCTTTTTTACGCTAATTTTTCGAATAAGTTTTTGTTTTTGTTTCCTTGTTAATTTTCTTCTCTTAGCAATGCAACAGACGTACTGGTAAATTTAAGTCGTTTTTCTGATTGAAATCACCATGAAGATGATTGATGGGGTAGAAAACAACCTAGTCAAGTTAATAATGAAAAAATGCTCATTAAAATGCCTTATTATTTGTAGTTAGACCATTTCGACCATTAAAATGCATTTTTTTCAAATAAATAATGGTAAAGTGGCCATTAAAATGAATACCGATTCATTAATAAATCAATTTGATCATTTCACAATCATGGATTCTATTTTTTCGGAGTTTCAAACTGATTTAAAAAATGTTTATAACTTCAAAAATTTATATGAATTATTAGTGTTTGCTTATCAAATGTTTTTTTTTACAAATAGTCAGAGCACATTCTTCCAAACTAATCGCTTAAACATCGATTGAAATATTCGGTCCTGATGAAATCATACTTACTGAGAGCCAAGGAGGAATCGGCGAATTCCCAGAATTCTGAATCCTTGAGAATCCGACAAAATCTCATGGAAATCTCTGGAATTCTGAGAAGGGTGTAGGCGTGAGTATGTGGCGTGGATGTGACATGAATGTGGTTGTAGGTTTAAATTTTTTTTCATCCACACCCACACCCTCTTGAGGTCTAACTCCAAACGAACTATGCAGAAATATACAGTGACTTGTGCCCTTTCATTTGCCATATAAATATCTAGAGATGAATTTAAGGAATGATACACTTTAAGATTTAATCCGTGCAATCTTCCATGTTTCATTTAACATACAAAAGCAGCATTTGGCATACATGAAAGAAATATTTATAGCTGTAGAAGATACATTGCAAAGCCTTCATTTGTCATTAATAAGAATTAGCAAAATAAAATCAAGTATTCAATCACATGCTGAAGAGTTACGTGACTTCGTTAACCATTAGTATCTTCCAGCTGTCTCGATTACTAGGTGAATATTCTTTTTTGGCGTTATATACTAACGAAAAAAAAATGCAAATAGATACTGATAACAAGAAGTGCACTTGCTTCTACTGACTAAAAGAAAGAAACTTTTTTAACCGACTCATAGCATATAAAATACCGTTTGTTCTCTTCTCTTCAATTATTTTATCTCTAATCTTTGATCAAACACATATTTTTGTGCACAGAACAATAGGTAGTTGAAGAAAAATCATCACGATGGTTGGTCACCTCTTGTTTTATGTAAATGGGAAAGAAATTCTTGAGCGTAATGTTGAACCTGAATGGAATCTTCTTTGGTATTTAAGAAATAGTAAGTAGCGAAAATATTCGTAAATGTGATCCATTTTAATTTTTTTTCTATCTAGAATTAAGATTGACTGGTTCGAAATTAGGTTGTGGTGAAGGTGGTTGTGGAGCTTGTACAGTCCTAATTTCACGATGTATTGATCGCAATTCTGGTGAAATCGAACATCGAACAATAAATGCCTGTTTAGCACCTGTATGCTCGGTTGATGGATGTCATGTTGTCACTGTGGAAGGGTTAGGCTCAACTAGTAAATCAAACCTTCATCCTACTCAAATACGTCTTGCACAATTATTTGCTTCACAATGTGGTTTTTGTACGCCAGGTATGGTCATGTCTTTATATGGAACAGTTACATCAAAAGATAATTCATTACCAACAATGGAAGATATTGAGGAAGCTTTTGATGGAAATCTTTGCCGATGTACTGGGTATCGTCCGATTCTTGATGCTGCAAAAACGTTTGCATGTGATATTAATAAACTAGATTATCAAAAATCTTCATCACCAAGAGTATCAACTACATTCGATAAGTGTTTCTCGTATGCTCATCAAACTACATCACCAATCAATCGAGTTCCATTTCCTGACAAACTTCGAGATTATATTCCCCAATCCATTCATATAAAAGGTATCTTCTTATTTAAATCTATCTAATAATCATGTTCAACAAGTTATAAAATCTTTTGATACCATACTTTTCCTAACAAAAAAAAGAAATCTATAGAGCAGAAAAAAACTCTAAAATGTATGTGAACAGGCTTGTACGTAAGTCTAACCGAGTCAGAGTAGCTTAGGCTCGGTATATGCCCCCCTATGTGAGAGTCAGTGTGGATTAAAGACGATATTAGCTATTGTTGGAACAAGTCAACTTCGAAGTAAAATTAATATTTCAAATATTTACCTAGACCTAATCTTCTCAGAATCCATAAAATAAAGGGTTTTCTAACACTTTTTTTGTCGAGCAATAAATAGAATTCCTTTCAGATCATCATGCAAACTAAAATAAAATGTATCGCATATGTTATACTTTGTGACACATTCCCAAAATGTGGTTCGAATCTAAGATGCAGCGCATTTTTTGTTTTTTTTCGGTAAAAGTCAATTATGATATTTTTGTCAATTTTTCTCATTTGATTATTCATATGCTGAAAATTGAAGCAGGTCAGACCTCGAGTAGATCTGATCTGCATCAGATCGGGTTTGGATAGTTCCCTACTCAATCATGGATCGAGTTTGGCATGTTTCGTGACTAAGAGATAATCTAGAAATGAAATTAACATAAAAATATATAAGTTTAGTATATTCAGTTGCATTGTCTAGATCGAGCTATGTATGCAAAATAAAACGGTAAATGAATAATAGGCAACGGATAGAACGCGATAAATTTATGTATGATATTTTCCTGTTTGAACCCACGACGCATCAGTGTGACACATTTTTATCTTATTGTGTGTTTTCACCAATAAAGATATTTTTCATAAATACTGTTTTCATTGATAAATACTGTAAAGAATGAATTATCTCACAAAAGAATTTCTCTGAAACTTTCTAGACAAAGTTGTCGATGTCAGGCCTTGTTGTTAAGAAAGTTTTCGATCATAAGTGTAGAGGCTGATTCTATGGAAAAAAAAGTGATATTTTGTAGAGAAAGTTATTAGCTCAGGTAAATCGTAATTGGCATCAACATTCTCTCGAATTTATTCCTAGTCTATAAATTCTTTAGTTTAGGACGAAATTTGAGTTGAAAAACGTTTTTTTTGTCGTTTGAAAACGTTCATTTATTTGTATGCTTAACAATGTCTTTATAAATTCATAGGTACTTCATTTGAATGGTATCGTCCAATATCATTGAATGAACTGATTCAACTCCGTCATAGTTATCCAGGTAATCAATCCAAACTTATTTTCGGTAATACAAGAGTAGAATTTGAAAGAAAATATAATCAAATGAATTGTTCTTGCTTGATATCAATCACACATATTAGAGAATTACAAGAACTAAAACGAACCGATGATTCATTATATATTGGAGCCGGTGTTACATTTGCACGTTTAAAATCTAAATTAATTCAATGGAAAAATGAAGATAAGTTTTGTCGAGCTTTACTCGATCAAATGAAACATTTTGCATCAACACAAATTCGAAATGTTGCTTCAATTGGTGGAAATATAGTTTCTGCTTCACCTATGTAAGTAACGTGCAATAAAATATCTTTTAAAATTTTCTCATCATTTTTTTTCCTAGTTCGGATATCAATCCTGTATTAGAAGCTGCAGGTGCTATACTTGAATTGAATTGTGCTGATAATGAAAAAGTACGTCAAATTCAATTGTGTGACTTTTTTCTTGGTAATCGTCATGTTTCAATGGCAGATAATGAAATTCTTATTGCCATCCATATTCCTCTTGAAAAATCATCAAATAAATATTTTCTACGTTCATATAAACAAGCTCGTCGTCGAGATGATTCAAAAGGAATTGTTAGTGCTGCATTTAAAGTTGAACTTGAAAAATTGAATTTAGCTGATAATCAATGGAAAATTGTTTCAGTTTGTTTTTCATTTGGTGGAATGGCATCAAAAACTATTTCAGCAAAAAATACTCAACAACAATTAATCGGATTGTCATGGACAAAACAAACGATTAATCAAGCATATGAATTACTTATTAAAGAAATATCACTCGATGAATTAAGTCCAGGTGGTCAATATCAATACAGGTAATTGTTATTATTATTAATTCATGAGAGTATTATTTTGAATTTTGTTTAGACGAACATTAATGCAATCATTTCTCTTTAAATTTTATTCATATGTATGTAATGAATTACGTGAGTCAGTAATTGATTCTGTTGATTTTTCTTATCATCGAGGAATATCTCATGGTCAACAGACAATACCTGAACGACCTCAAACCCAAAAATATGTTGGTAGTTCATTATCACATCAATCTGCTTATTTACATACAACAGGAGAAGCTATATATGTAGATGATATGCCATCATATATCAATACACTTTATGCTGCACCTGTACTTAGTACAAAAGCAAATGCACGAATAAAACACATTGGTAACTTTTTTAAAATTATTTTTCATAGATTTCATTGAAATTAATCTCATAATTAATAGATATTGACGATGCTTCAAAAGTTGCAGGTTTTGTATCATTTGTTAACTATACTGATGTACCAAATTCGAATAAATTGGGTAATATTTTACCTGATGAAGAAGTATTTGTATCATCGATTGCACTTTGTGTTGGTGCTATTATTGGTCTTGTTGTTTGTGAATCTGAACATGCAGCTAAATTAGCTGCAAATCTTGTTAAAATTGATTATGAGTTATTACCACTAAGAATTTTTTCTATTGAAGATGCTATTGATCATCAGTCTTATTTTGGAGATGAAATTTGTCTTCAAAGAGGTGATGTTGAGAAAGTTTTTTTGGATGCTGAACACGTTTTAGAGGATACATTATTTATTGGCGGTCAAGAACATTTTTATATGGAAACACAGTCGTGTATGGTTGTACCATCAAATGATGATCAAGAAATAAATATATATGTGGGGACACAAAATCTAACTACTACTCAAGAATTAATAGCATTAGTACTCGGTCGAGATGTTAATCGTATAACATGTCATGTCAAAAGAGTTGGTGGAGCATTTGGTGGAAAAGAGACAAGATCGTAAGTGAAATATTTCATCTTTTCAGTACAGGACTATCATATGTACATCATTTTCAAGTATAGTTCTTCATTTCGAACTTTTCCACTACGAAATAAATTTTACGTCTAGTTCTTTTTTTTGCAATGATCTATTTTAGCATGTTTTCTCTGCACCCAACAAAATCAACTGTATGTTAGCGGAACCTTTCAAAACTTCCTAAGTTAATCATAGAGTTTTTTATATAAGTAGGAAGTGTCAATAGTACTATTATATTTATTATCGTTTAAAATTGAATTCTTTGTGTTATAAATTAACGATGCGAGCTGGTCAAATACTTGCAGAAAACAAATCAGTAGATACGTTTCTTATCAACCTTAACCGATTATTATGAATGAATGATATTTATTTGACTAGAACTCATTCATCTTAATTTTTCTCGTAGCATGTATCGAAAAATGGTTTAGTTATGATTTTAATTTTCATCGTAAATGAACAAATTGAATTCTTTCTCTGATAAAGAAAACATCAAAATACTACCTTTCTAATCTCTCTATTTTAAATGTATGTACCTCGCGTATGGGATCGTGTGAATCTCACTTGGACTTTGGGGCATGGTATCCCTGTTTTGATATATAACATCACATGCTTGTTATGTTTTAGTTTACCCCTATGTGCTGCTGCAGCAGTAGCTGCTGTTAAACTTGGTCGTCCTGTTCGATTTAATCTTGAACGTCGTGTCGATATGTCAATAACTGGACATCGACATCCATTTAAAATTAAATATAAAATAGCATTCAATAATGAAGGTCGGTTTTTAGGACTTGATATGCAAATGTGGAGTAATGCTGGTTGTACATTGGATGCATCACAATATGTTATGGAACTCTCTATGCTACATATGGGGAATACATATAAATTTCCTAATATTAGAATTCGTGGTCGTGTTTGTAAAACACATTTACCATCAAACACTGGTTTGTTGCGTACATAGTTTCGCTTAGATAAAACTTTTTTTTCTTCTTATTTAAGCTTTTCGTGGTTTTGGTGGACCGCAAGCTATGTTAGCGTGTGAAACAATCATAGAACATATTGCTGCATACCTTAAATGTGATCCATTCACTATTCGTTGTCTTAATTTATTCAAAGAAGGTGATGTTACTCATTATGGACAGATTTTAGAACTATGGAATGTTCCAAGAATTTTGGATGAACTTACTAAATCAAGTGATTTTATTCAAAGACAATTCAATGTTAGAGAATTTAATCGAAAAAATATGTATCGAAAACGTGGTATAAGTATGATACCAGTTAAATTTGGCATTGGTTTTACAGCTCAATTTCTAAATCAGGCAGGAGCTCTTGTACATGTCTACAAAGATGGTTCAGTAATACTTACCCATGGAGGCATAGAAATGGGTCAAGGTTTACATACAAAAATGATAGCAATAGCTGCTGAAATATTAGCTTGTGATATTGATAGGATACGAATTAGTGAAACAGCAACAGATAAAAGTCATAATTTAAGTCCAACTGCTGGATCAACTTCATCGGACCTTAATGGAATGGCTGTAAGACATGCTTGTGAACAAATTCGTCAACGATTAGATACACTCATTATTGATAATAATGTTCACATCTCATGGGAAGATCTTATAAAACAAGCTTATTTTGCTCGTGTTGATCTATGTGCACGTGGATTCTATATAACACCGAACATGTTCGATGCTGATTTTACAAAAAATCAAGCTAATTACAATTATTTTACACAAGGTGCAGCAGTGACCGAAGTCGAACTAGATGTATTAACAGGAGATTGGCATCTTTTACGCGTTGATATACTCATGGTATGTCAAGTTTTATGTGATTAGCAGAAAATTTATTTTAATTATTATAGGATGTTGGTACATCACTCAATCCTCATATTGATATTGGTCAAATCGAAGGTGGTTTTATGCAAGGAATCGGTTTGTATACCATGGAAGAACTCATATGGGGCGATGAAAAATTAAATAAATGGATTCCACCAGGAGAATTATTCACTTGTGGAGTAAATACTTATAAAATTCCATCATTTAGTGATGTTCCTATTGATTTTCGTGTTTCACTATTATCTGATTCATTAAATCCGCGAGCGATCTATTCGTCAAAAGGAATTGGTGAACCACCAGTTTTACTTGCTGCTTCGGCTTTTTTTGCTTTAAAACAAGCATGTAAAGCATATCGAGAACAGCAAGGTTTATCAGATTATTTTACACTTCATTCACCGGCAACTGTCGAACGACTTCGAATGGTTTGCGTCGATGATTTTACTCAACGTGCCAGTGCTGATGAGCATGAAATATTTCAACCAACAGGTTCATATTGATAGTATTACTATACAATTTTGTTTTCTGAACGCTTAACAAATATACATCTACGATTCATTGATCATCAATAGCATGAAACGCATGAAAAATATTTTCATTTATCATATATCACCTAATCTATTTTTAAAATTAATTATAAGAATTTTATAAATCAATAAAAAAAAAACTTTTCTTCATCATTCAATACTGTAACAGTTGGAAAATTTACTTAGAATATAAAAAATCACTTTTCAAGTTGTTCTTTAGCTTTCATCCAGGATATACTAGTCTCCTTCTTGTTCTTTTGTCCTAACAATGATGTCATTGTCATCCATGAGAAATTTCATGTTAGAGCACTTACAAGTTAAAAATATTTTCCGATTATCACTTAATTCTATTTCATATAATTTCTACTCTATAGAACAAACCTACATAAAACGTAATTAAACTTTGAAGCGTTGCGTACATGATAGCCGAATTAATTCCAGACAGATAATCTGTCATGTTAGTTCACTAGTGAAGAAAGATACTAGGAAACTTATTAAAAATGTGGAGACTAGTTTAACTCCTTATAACAATCAATGTTTTTATTAGAATATATAGAAACTTCTCTAGAGAGGAAAATTTTCAATTGTTTTTTATTTCCAAAGCCGAACTACCACAGATAAAATATGAAAAAAGTACCGATCAATAATCTTATTTTCGTATCTAGCGAAGCAATACTCTCTAGTGTTCATTTCCAATCAAGAAGAGAGTTACATAGATTGGTGCAGCTTGACGAGCTGATCACGATGATGATAGACATTTTCCCATACTAGTTTGGAGGTCAATCGAATTTCCTCCCTTGGTTTTCTTATGTTTTTATTATTATACTTCATTTATTTTTAAACATATTATACATACTGAGAAAGTACGGAATGGGCTGCATATATTAACATCGAGAATTGGCTAAAGGTAACAGGGTGTGAGTGTGAGTGTTGTTCTGATCTTAATCCATATTTACACCCAGGCCCACACGACCAGAGAGAGAGAGAGAGAGAGAGAAAAGAGATAATATGTGACTGATCACTAGCATGCAAGAATAGAAAAGTGGCAAATAAAGCTTTTTTAGTAAAAAGAAAAAAGTGATTTATGTGATAAGGAGAGAACAAATGTGTTTGCACAATAACGAACGGTTACTGTTTTTTTCGTCATTCGCGAATCATTAACGATAATCGACACAATTTGAAGCTAGATAGTATCTGATAAAAATAAACCTTACGATTTTGAGGAGTCTGCAGTGAAACAGTGTTTACATTTGTTCGATCGTCTCTCACGATGATCAGCACGCCACATTCTGCAGTTTTTTTTATTTTTGAAAAATTCTAGTGCCTGTTGGTTGAGACGATGTAAAAAACTGACTTCTCTCGAAGAAAATGTCGGGAATTCGAGAATTCCTTCATAGACCGACACATTTTTATCATTGAACCTTTATAATATCAATAGAAAAGTACACATTATTCAACGTTTACTGATAACTTCATTTACTTTCGTAGTCTGCTTTCGAATTTTTCTTTGTTGTGTCACTTATTTATTGTTAGCAGCACTGACAGATGGCGTTGAGGCGATATTACTAACACTTGAAAGATTGAACGATGCATATGCGCGTAAGCGTCTTACAATTGATAGTCATCATAAAATATTCTATAAAATACAACCAAATATTCTATGTCTGAGCATTTGGTGAGCAACGAGTGAGTGAACAAGTACCTAAAGTTTTTTCAGACACGAGCTATTTCACTGTGATATTCATTGGCGACATTTGGATACTCTTCATTCAGCTCTTTTAGATTCATTTTAGAAATAGTTATGTGCAGAGTGTGGGTCTGAATCTGGATGTGAGGTGTGGCACCGGAATGTTGGTTTTGGATGTAGGTGAGATATTCGTATCTTGATCCGTATACAACTCACATTCTTTTAATCTCGACTTTTTGTCATCGCACGCCCGAAATATCAGTTTTTATGTTCATTGGGTGAACATACTTGAAGATGAAGTTTTCCTTCTAAAATTCGATGCATGAAAAATACGTGTACTATATTTTGTACTGCTTTTTCTATACTGGAAAAAGATGTTTTGCTTCAAACAATGCGAGCATTGAACTAGGAAGCTCAATTGAATCGGACATTCATTAGCCTTGAAACGTGTCGATTGATCTGTAAGGTCGTTATTTTGAGTCAAGGGAATAGCGGTGAGCGCTTTTCCTGATTTCTCGAATTCTTATTCGTCAAGTCAACATTCTCGCTACAATATCATGACGTGACCAGAACTACATGCGTCACACAAAGTGTGTCGGTAGTGTTTCTGGCTATCGGAGGTGTAGACAAGTGTTATCTCTGGTGCGTTGCTATGTGGCTGTTTGTTTTCGGTGTGGATGACACCCGAATAAACGAAGTAACAAGTCTAGCAAGACCAAAATCATGATCATGGAAACTGATTTCTTTCACTCTCTCCCTCTCTCTAATGAGATTTTCAAATGACAAAAAATAATGTACCGTTGAATTCTTTCTTCTTCAATTCTATTCAGTCGACTATGGTATGGTACAAACTGCTACACGATGGCGAAATAAAAACAGTAATGGTTTACTTTTGTTCGAATCATAGAATCCAAAAAAACAACAGGTGAATATTAGATGAGAAAAATCAAAATAAATTGAATCTGAACTATGCAAGAGAGAGTATATGAGTGTATAAATGGATTCATGAACTTCAAAGTCTTCTACTGTCATAAAATGCATGAAGCCAACATTTGTATTGTCGCTTGTTTTTGAATGATTTCAAGAAAAAAAAACAAATACTGCATTCGATGCAACCATTGCGCAGACGAAAAGTATTGCGACGTTGATAGAAAAGGTATCTACTAACTCGAAAGGATATTCGGATGTAAGGGCATTTTTGACTGAGTTTGATGCTTTCTGAATGAACGTGTAAATGCGGAAACGGAAGCTGTAATTACAACGTTTAAATACTTTTTCAGAAGTTCTTGTCTGTTCAGGTAATATTATCTACATGTAGATCATGTTATTGATCTTCGTATGTCTTTTCTTTCTCGTCTGCTCTAAAGTCTAGTCGTCTATACATATGTTCCGTTTATCTTGTGTACATCTGTAGTTTATTAGTTTATTTTCGAGAAAATTAAAGAAATAAAGTTAGATTAAACCTTAACACTATTCATCTGTTTCAGATAGATAAGAAAAATTTCTGCTTCTTCATTAAAGTGTATTCTGCACTTAATATTCAAGCAAGAGTTATTCGAAAATTTGATGAAATGAAAGATGATGAATATCTTTCTATATTTCTTTTTTGTGCTGTCACCACTACTTTTGTTTTGTATATCCTAGTGTATACAAGCAACTAGTCTTTAGAGGAGATTACAAAAAAAAGAAAGAACAAACAAAAACAACACTTATCAAAATTTTATTATTACGATACTGGCTGAAAAACGTTGAAATATCGCTGAAAAAGTTTGTTAGCACAATTCCTTTGAAGCTGAAATGTAGAACTCACATATGTTTCTCATTCTCATTAAACTAGTACAAAATGCGTAAATTGAAAAATCTCTTGTAGACTATAGTTGTTTTCCAAGATAATCGATCACCACAGTAAGAATCTGTCTCATTCACTTTTGCATTTCGAACAGAATTTTTTTCTTTCTTTACGGGTATCTGCACTTTTGTTTGAATCGTTGCTATTCGTTCGTTATTTTTCTTTTTCATACTTCGTGTTCTATTTAACATTGTTATTATTATAAACATTGAATTAAATGGCAAATAAAGCTGTTGTAAATGTTCGTTAAATTTACAGCAGCAGATTTTAACACACTATTATATATCTCGATCAAATCACGCTTTTGATGTTTATTATAGGATAATCGTAGCAAGTCAACCCACGCCTACCCATCATTGTTGACATCTTGAATATAAATTTTTATCTCCGCCAAAATCAAAAGCTGCGCTATTTAAAAAGTTCACAAACGTGTTCTAGCCATTCAAATTTCGGCTAAGATTTTGGAATATTCCAGAATTTTCTACAATAGTCCAAGCCATACTGTTAATGTTAAAGTCGTTCATCGTCTTTTTCTGTTGCTAAGGAACTCTACTAAAGAAGTCAGATACTGGGTGTCCTAGATTGTAAAAGTCTGTAATGAAGACGGAAGAGGGTTGTAAATCTTCGACTTAAAACTTGTACTCACTATTTTCTTCAAAAATATACGTAAGTTGCACAAAATAGAGCATTGTTTTTTTTCTATCTTTCCATATATCTATATTCTATAGGATACATTGGGCATCGCACTGATATGAGTCCGAGTCATAGAAGGCAATTTATAATAAGCGCATAAATAGTTGGTATTAAAGCAGCCCAATACACTAGAAATCTACTTTTTGTACAGATTTCCGCATTCACTCTTTCATATGGAGTGGCGTCGAGAACTCTGAGGTACTTGAAAGATGTTTCTTTTTAAAAAAGTCTTTGTTTCCCAGAGATAAAAATGACTTTCGAAATACGTAGTTTTGATTCAAAAATAGTTTCCTAGAGCGTTTTGAGTACGCCGATTTCGAACATAACAATAGATAGGTTTTTTTTGAGAACATTCTAAGAGGATTTATGGAAGTCCAGTCTTACAAAAACGACGGTAATCAGATCATAATCATAAACATAGTTTTAGGTCGATTGTAACCCCGCAGTTTCACATAATTGAAGACAAAATAGAAACGATACTCAAAAAGAAAAGAGATATGTGCTCAGAGTCTGTAAATTTTATTGAATAGTCGTGTCATCCAAAAATGGTTGACGGACACATCATTCGATGGAATTTTCCGTGTTAATTCCAAATATGTCCTTGTTTTTGTCTCAAAGTGCTTTCTGTAATAAAGAAAACACAGAAAAACTTAAGAAGGCAAGTTTTCTTTTTACAAAATCTGTATCTCAGTCCAGAAGCATTTCCACTCCTGTGCACTAACTAAGCGTACGTCTCAGATATAC